GTTTATGGTTGCCTTAGTGGCCGAAAGGCAAGTGAGAATTTAGGAAAAGTGGCTTTATTCAAAGCACCAAAAGTGAGTAACCTCAAAATAATATTCCAAATTTTATGTTAACAAATAATTGATTATTACATTTGTGTAGTTTTTTAATAATATTACTTCCACGTTTCTTAAAATATTTCTTTTTCAGAGCTGTCAATTGCAACAAGACTTCCCGCGTAAGTATTTAAACGAGTACTCTGTGAAAAGTAACGCGCTCTACCGGCAAAATATCTTGTCCCATAAATTGATACCGTTCTTTCAACATTACGTTCGGACTCCTGGTATCTATCCTCCGTGAGTATAAATATCATTATACAGTTAATTTAATTCTTTTTTTTTTTGCATTTTCGTATTTATGGCAGGTAATGGGTTAACCATAAATATATCTTAAAATAAATAAACTTGTACTATGTAACTATTCCTGATTTTTGGAAAAATATTATTAATGTATTTGATAAAGTGATGAAGAAAACATTATTAAATATTTACATTAGGTATTATCAAATTGTATCACAGCCCATAATAATATATTAATCATTATACATGCAAATGTTAGCTAAATGTGATACAAGTATGTTAAGAAGTACAAAATACAAAACAATTTTACATTTAGAATATACTATGAGTATAAAAAATTATCTATACTTAGATAATAGATATTTAGATATTTTGAACAGTTGGATTTAAAAAGTTGGACATTGGTTTCATATTATATGCTTCTTGAGAATCACTGGCATAATCTTGTTGCTGTGTATGAACACGTTTATAAAATTCTTCAGTAACATTTGGTGTTGGTGGATGTAAGTAGTCTCTTACGTTAACATATTTTGGACCACCAAATGTATCCAAAACCGCGATAGATATTATTTTCAATTTGGCGAAATAAAAGTGGTGATCTGAAAATAATATTATAAGAAAATTTGTTCATTTATAACACACTGACATATATATTAATTTATAATTATACCTGCAGGCATATTCTCCAATGCAGGATGACGTCCAAAGACAGCGCTTTTAGCTACATCTAACTCAGGACTTTCATTTTTTATCTGTAAATATTATATCATAAAAATATTAGATATTTATTTAAATATAAATTCTTAATTGAAACATTTTAATTAAAAAAAAATTCACTAACTGGTTTGATTTTTCCAGTAAGTATTACTCTTGCACAGCGTGGATCCATTGGATCCCATATTTTTCTTCTGCAATAATTTCCTTGAGCTAATGTCATGAAAAGTGTAGCACGATTATCTTTCTATAATCAACAACATAATATAATTGATTAATTACTTGTCATATACGTAGGTTGGAACGTAAATAGTGACAACTATTTATTCACAACCGATACAAAAGAGTTACATGTATTCTCCTGTAACTGTCCTTTAAAGTAGTCACCAGCATTGTGTAGAACCCGTTAGCAGAGTCTGTTCTGTTGATGGTGCGAATGGAGCGGTCTACTGCCTGTCGAATCTCTGGAACAGTTCTCAAGCGAATGCCACGATGGATTCCGCATGAATTGACGGAAATGCAGAAATGGATACGTTACGACGCTGCTCAGACGCACTTGGAGCGCTATGAGCGTAAATGAGAGGCTTTCTTACACCGTATCGTAACACTGGATGAGACATGGCAGTAGACCGCTCCATTCGCACCTTCAACAGAACAGGCTCTGCTAACGGGTTCTACACAACGCTGGTGACTACTTTGAAGGACAGTAACAGGTGCAAACATGTAACTCTTTTGTATCGGTTGTGAATAAATAGTTGCCATTATTTCAGTTGCAACCTACGAATACAGGGTGGGTCACCACATTTTACCACCTTGATTTACGTTTTTATTATTACGCGTAGCAGACAATGTTTCACATGGAGTTGAATGGCTTTAAAAGGGGCTCATACTGATTGTACTTTTTTTTTTTTAGGTGGACGTGTCAAGGACATATGAAGGTCATTAATGTTTTTTTAAATGGAATGATATATTTTTTATTGTATCATCTGATGCTCTTTCATATTATTTACAAAAAAGTATTAACCTATTTATGTAAAAAGATTATTACTTTAGGAGATATTTGTAATTTTTGTCTATTTACAAAAAAGCTTCAATATGGCGACCATTTGCATCAGAACACTTTCTGAATCGAGAAATTAATGACTCATTAACGTTTCTTAATGTATCTTATGTTATTTCCTTGCATTCATTGACAATACGATCCTTTATATTGGCCATTGTAGTTGGAGGCTCAGCGTAAACTTTATTTTTTAAGTAGCCCAATAAGAAAAAGTCGAGGGGCGTTAGATCTGGTGACCTAGCCGGAAAATGAAACAGTTGTCTCTTTTTGAGTGAGAGCCCAATTACAAAATTCTAAACGTTTATAACAGTCAATTGAGGTCAGTTCTTGAACCTTTGATACATGATATGAATGGTATTTGTGCTTTCTCAGTATGCGTAAAGTGCTTTTGCGGCTAATTCCAGCTTGTCTTTCGATTTCGCGAGAGCTAACGGATGGATTTATCGTAACTGCGGCTAACACTTCCCAAATCGTTGGATAGAACGGGATGGGCCCATTCATTTTCCTGCTAGATCATCAGATCTAACGCCCCTCGACTTTTTCTTATGGGGCTACTTAAAAAATAAAGTTTACGCTGAGCCTCCGACTACAATGGCCAGTATAAGGGATCGTATCGTCAATGAATGTAAGGAAATAACATAAGATACATTAAGAAACATTAATGAGTCATTAATTTCTCGATTCAGAAAGTGTTCTGATGCAAATGGTCGCCATATTGAATCTTTTTTGTAAATAGACAAAAATTAAAATATCTCCTAAAGTAATAATTTTTTTACATAAATAGGTTAATACTTTTTTGTAAATAATATGAAAGAGCATCAGNTTTTTGTAAATAATATGAAAGAGCATCAGATGATGCAATAAAAAATATATGATTCCATTTAAATAAACATTAATGACCTTTATATGTCCTTGACAAGTCCACCTAAAAAAAAAAAAGTACAATCAGTATGAGCCCCTTTTAAAGCCATTCAACTCCATGTGAAACATTGTCTGCTACGCGTAATAATAAAAACGGAAATCAAGGTGGTAAAATGTGGTGACCCACCCTGTATATATTTGATTTATTTTGTATTATGACAATTGGAGATTAAGTAATGATGGATTATTATTTTGAGTTTTAACAATAATCATATTTTATTACTTAGCTGTAAAAAAAAGAAACTTACAGCTAAATCTTTTGCAGTAAAGTCCAAAGGTGTAAGATAAAGATAAGGTATTCCAGATCCATTTCCTAATCGTCCATCACTAAAGGAAATTAAATTAACTGTTGGAAACGATTCAATATCTTTTCGTGTGCTTATAGTTGCTACAGAGGTCCAATCTAAAATTATATATATATATATTAATTTTTTAATAAATAAACAATTAACATATCGAACATAATTCTTGAAAATCATTTCAATGAAAAGAATCATTTAAAAAAAAAAAAAAAAAATAATGAAATGTGAAAATAAAAATGACATTTTTTAAATGTTTGATAAAATCATATTTGATTACGTGCATTTATGTATCTCGAATGAGATAAAATCTAAATGGATATTGTTTTTTCTTTTTTTTTTTCAGATAAAGACTATAAAAGTAATAAATACAAAAAAAGAACAAAAGAAAATGATAAAATTATTTTCAAGAAAAAAAAAAAAAGAAATGTATATTTTAAAATTTGTCTTTTAAATTTCAAATAAATCATCTACAATTAATGACGAATGTCAACTGATATATCAAGTGCTAGTATTCGTGCTAGTTGACTATTTTTAGGAGCATAAGGATATAACTGGCAAGGTTTCTTACGATCGAGGACAATCTCTTGTGAAATCCATTACAAATAAGGAAATTGTTAAAACTATGCGATATTATAAATAAATCTATTGAATCTTTTAATCATTCTGATGAAATTAAATTACATTTAAGAACAATTGGAATAATAATATTTTTCTTTTCAAGGTAGTTTCTTACGATCAAGGACAATCTCTTGTGAAATCCATTACAAATAAGGAAATTGTTCAAACTATGCGATATTATAAATAAATCTATTGAATCTTTTAATCATTCTGATGAAATTAAATTACATTTAAGAACAATTGGAATAATAATATTTTTGTTTTCAAGGTAGTAGTTTCTTACGATCAAGGACAATCTCTTGTGAAATCCATTATAAATAAGGAAATTGTTAAAACTATGCGATATTATAAATAAATCTATTGAATCTTTTAATCATTCTGATGAAATTAATTATATACATTTAATTAAGAACAATTGGAATAATAATATTTTTCTTTTCAAGGTAATCATCATCACTTATATTATTTTTTCGTAACAGCTGAGAAATAAGTAAAAACATAAGATCAAAATTTAGATATTTTTTAACGTACAATTGAATGAATGCCAATATCATGCACACGAGACTAATATTAATTCTAATAATGTTAAATTATCCGTATAGTTTTGATATCTCTTTTCATTTCTTGTAAACTGTGTCAATATTAAGAAATAAGCTGGAATATTCAACAATTCAAATTACACCGATAAATATATTCTCTACTTAACGGGGGCGGGGAGGGGGGGGGGTGTGCTTAGAATGCAAAAAAAAAACGCTTGTTTCGAAATTTCTTTTTCTCCAATGTTTTTTTCTCAAAATTAAAATTTATAACAAATTGGCGGATGTTTGAAGAAAAAGTTTTATTTTGTTGAAGAAAAAGTTTTATTTTTCGGTGAAAAAAAAAAAGAATTAATTGCAAAATTAAAATATCTCGATGAGTATACGGGAACATCATACTTAAGCTAACCCTTTTGTATTTTTTGTTTCAGACAATTCTTAATTAAAATTTATAACAAAATGGCGGATGTTTGAAGAAAAATTTTTATTTTGTTGAAGAAAAAGTTTTATTTTTCCTTTTGTATTTTTTGTTTCAAACAATTCTACGATGACTTAGAAGTTTCACCGCACGATTACCTACGAAACTACTCAACGTTTAAGGGCTTGTCTAGAGGCATGAATTTTAGGTACTTTTTAAAAAGACGAATAATATTTTCACTATCTATAATGTTACAAGATATTCATTAATATTTCGAGACTACATGGAACAAAAAAAAATAGTGAAAAAACTCAAAATTGAAAAAGATATCAGCTGATGAAGTGGGGGGTTCCCAAAAAAAACGGCGCGCGACAAATGTCAAGATTGCAGCTCTCCTGGTAATCCGAAATAAAAAATTAAAACGGATTATTAATTTAGAATAATGCTGCTATCGTTCGAACTAAAAGAATTGAAAAAAGTTTTTTTTTCGCCAAATTACAGCTGTCGGAAAAAAAGATACATTATATTTACCACATTTTTTACTTTTCCGAATTTTTTAAAAATAGTAAAAATTGAAAATTTTGTAAGAGTTTAGTTTGTACGATAGAGTAATGCATAGAGAAGATTCCCACCAAATTTCAAGCAAATCGGTTTAATAGAACTTGAGATATCTTGACATTTGTGAACAAAAAAACCAGTTTCAAGAAAAACGCGTTCAAAGTTTCGCGTAATAAGGGTAGGATATAGGATGCCGCGTCACTAAAACAGCTATATCTCCGAAAATAAATTGAATTTTGAAAAATCCTCTTCAGGACATATTCTTAAAAGGTTAAGCTTTGAAAATATGAAAAAAAAAAATCAATATTTTCAAATTTCTAGACCCTCTGGTCTATTTTTACCTACCCTATTATTATAGGGTATTCTTACCCCCTTAATCTTCAAAAATGATCAATATTTGTATTAAAAAAAAAAAAAAAAGATAATAGATAATTCAATTGAAATTTATTCGACATAACTTTACAAAATCTTTATAAAAATAATTCAAAATTGAATGAATCAAAAGTAACAACAGTTAGTACAATAATTAATGTCGTGATATAAATAGAATCGTAGATAAAAGTCGATGCGTTGAATCAATAAAACAATCATAGGAAAAAAAAATAATCGTTTGAAATGTAAAAAAAATGATCAAAGTTATCATTCATTGTGAACACAAATATTATTAAACATTAATGAATACGTACCAGCTTGATTAACAATAAATCTTGCCATTAAAACAGCGTCATCGACCGGAGGTGGATCTTGTGATCGTCTATCTTCCTTTCCATAATTTTTTATGAAATCCGGATTATTATAATTATCATTAAAATCAATCGACATTTTATTTCCATTTCCTTTCATTTTTTTCCATTCGAGAAATTCTTCAAATTCTTGCCAGTCTCGATATACATCGCGATTTTCATTGTTGTTGTATTTTTTCGCATCGATCATTAAGATCAATAAAGCGATAAAAATAGTCGCTCGGAGAATTATTTTCATACTTTTGGCACTAATCATGATGAAAGTTAGAAAAACAACTCTAAAAACTCTAATATATTATCGAATATAAAGCTTAGGAGAAATAAATCTTTCTTTCTTATTTTCGCACGTCTAATTTGAACATCTCTACGCGGATAATCAAACTGCGATGACTGTTAAGTTTGCTGATCCCAACCAATGTAGTCAGATAGTAGAATATTTTTACCCCTTCTCTCGAGCCCAGCACGCCTCGCACACAACGGATTGTTACTTGTCGGTGTGTCGGGAAACCGAAAGAAGCCGAGGGAAGCCGAGGTTAGCTGCGCGACAGAAGAGAAATAGTACCCCCACCACGCGCCGCGGAGAAATACATGGACACAATACACATTGTATAAATACATACATTGTACAATATATGTGTATATGTGTTTATTGTGTTATGTGTATTAAGTGTTTATTGTGTTATGTGTATATATGTGTTTACATGTGTATTGTGTCCATGTATTTCTACGCGGCGCGTGGTGGGGGTATTATTTCTCTTCTGTTCGTGCAGTTACCTCGGCTTCCCTCGGTTTCTTTCGGTTTTCCGACACACCGACACGTAAATTTTATTGTGTGCGAGACGTGCTGGGCTCGAGAGAAGGGGTAGAAATGTTCGCGATCTGGCTTCACTGATCCCAACCGAAAACCTTTCCTCTACCAAAAATACTTTATTTTTGATTAAATACGCATGCGCACTAATTAATGTAACAAATAATGACAACAAATAATTCATTAATTTTCACATTTTTACCATTTTAGATTTTGTTAATTGTCATAAATATAAAAAGAAATGTTTTACCTTTTATAATATTTCATGTTAAACATTACCTTTATGATAACATACTATCACACTTGTTTATTCACTATTTTATCTTATGTTTTTTATACAATACATGGCGATTCTTACAAAATTAGATCAGAGAGATAGAGAGAGAGAGAGAGATAGAGAGAGTAAGTTTAATTTATATTTAAAATAAATAACATATGTGTTATGTAATTTATATCTTTATACAAACATCTATACTAACATCTATATATAAATTAATAACCTGTAATGTTTCAGATAATATTTTTTTTTCTTCTAACATGTTAAATGTTAATTAATTAAATAGTGTTATTAGACAACAAACTATATTTTTGCAAAGATGAATAAACTCATATAACTAATAAGAGTTAATGATACAATAATGTGTAAAATATTTCAGAGTGTATAGGATTTACACAGACAAGAATTAATGAATTTCACAAAGTAAAGCAATATGTATATTAAATGGAAACAGATTATCGGAAATATTCTGTTCATATAAGTAAATCACGTATGTTTACGTTAAATACATGATGTCAACTGCTTTGGATACTTGCCACTAGTTGGCGTAAAAGTCGAGACGCACGTAGGGATCCTGTAGGAGGGATGCGCCATTCATATTCAACTCATGTGCCATTGGCTGAAAATTTTGGGGGACCGCTTGAATTTATAATAATTTTTTCGTGTAACCTATTCTATTTTAATATAAATTTTTAATTATCATTAAATATAGTTCATTTTTTTTCTGTATTTGATGCAATTCATTATTTCATAATTATTTCAATGTTTGAATCATTCGCGCGCAATCACGTGACTACACGAGTTCCTGTCGCCCAGCAATCCACATGGCGCGTCCCTCCTATAGGTCTCAGACGCACGGTCCCTGTATGAAATATGGTCTACGTAACATGGTGTAATATTGTAATGAATCACCGATAGAAGGATACAAAAGGAGGGGTCCAGTTATCGAAGATTTCATTGTAACAAGCAACATTGAGGAAACACCACAGAATAATTACGTTAAGTTTCTAACAAATTGGACTAATTTGTGTGGCCACAAAAGGAAATAACAGCTTGTTGAAGGTTCGGCATAAAATTTTTTTTATAATTTGTTCTATGTTTGAATTTGGTTAAATACTTAAGCTATATTTTCATTTATAACAAGCAAGTATTTTGAGTATATACCGTATATACAGTATAATCTCACTAATACGGCATTTTAACCCTTTCGCTTCGGCTCTCCAGTCCGCCGAAGTACTTGCACTGAACGGAGGCGCGCGTCGCGAATAAGTCCAGTATGCGTTGTTGCTGTATATATGTTTTCCTGAGTCTTAAATTACGATTATGCCAAATAAAACAATCTTTGCTACAATATAATGAGTATAATTTACATTTTTGATAAGAAAACATTTACAACTTACAAAGTTATAAGTAATATTTTAATGATGAATTATTTATGATCCGCAAACAAATAATTATATTAATGTAAAGTGATTAGTAATAAAAGTACGTATGATAAATTTGGAAGCACAGATCTATACATAAGTCAACATCACACTCTTTATACTCGTATCGTGAGTCGGATCTTTTATCATCGTACCTTCAAGTCATATTGCGTACGCCGCTTATAAGTGGCACTTGTACTCACAAGTCATATCGCGTACCGCGCTGGAAGCGAAAGGGTTAATAGACCGATATGTCCAATAATTCGGCACCCCCGCCCGCCCCACCCACGCCATCTCAATGCCTATGCGCTCCGTCGTCTAGCAGTCTAACCTCAAAATTTATTATGACTTTTTCTCTATAATCCAGTAATCTGAGCATTCCAATATAATTATATATATAGTTATATACCTATATATATATATAATATATATATAACTATATACATGATATAATTACTGTTTACATACACGCTCCCCCCTTTCTCTAATTCATTTAAAACAAAAGTTTAAAACTAGTTAAAATTCAAAATAGTGATCTCTAATGCACACATGWCAGAGGATGTCAAAATTGCTTTACATATTGCAATTGAAATTTAAAGTTATCTAAACTGACACATGACGTCATCCAATTATTTCACATATTGTGTAATCATTGAAAATATTTTAAAAAATTAAAAAACAACATCTAAGGTATATATTAAACTACATATATTTATAACAAATATGTAATGTAAACGAAAGATTCATGAATTCTTTAAGTTGTATCAAAACATATTTGCACAAATATAATAAAAAATATAATATATAAAATATAATTGTGTATAAAGAGATATACATGCTATATATACATGATATAATTACTGTTTACATACACACTCTACCCCCCTTTTCTCTAATTCATTTAAAACAAAAGTTTAAAACTACTTAAAATTCMAARTARTGATCTCTAATGCACACATGACAGAGGATGTCAAAATTGCTTTATATATTGCAATTGAAATTTAAAATTATCTAAACTGACACATGACGTCATCCAATTATTTCACATATTGTGCAATCATTGAAAATATTTGTAAAGATTAAAAAACAACATCTAAGGTATATATTAAACTACATATATTTATAACAAATATGTAATGTAAACGAAAGATTCATGAATTCTTTAAATTGTATCAAAATATATTTGCACTAATATAATAAAAAATATAATATATAAAATATAATTGTGTATAAAGAGATATACATGCTATATATACATGACATAATTACTGTTTACATACACACTGCCCCCTCCTTTCTCTAATTCATTTAAAACAAAAGTTTAAAACTAGTTAAAATTCAAAATAGTGATCTCTAATGCACACATGACAGAGGATGTCAAAATTGCTTTACATATTGCAATTGAAATTTAAAGTTATCTAAACTGACACATGACGTCATCCAATTATTTCACATATTGTGCAATCATTGAAAATATTTTTAAAGATTAAAAAACAACATCGAAGGTATATATTAAATTATATTTGTTTAATTTAATGTTTATTATTTAATATATTAATATCTTATATACAGTACAATCTCACTAATCCGGCACTATTAAATACCAAACGGTGCTCTGGATTATTTAGTCCAGTCAAAAAGACCGTAAAATCGGGTTTTTGGCCTATACGGCTGAAAATATATGGAAATAATCAAAAAAATGCGTACAAAACTGTGGGCAAAGTAAAAATGTTCTCAACCTCTGGGAATGGGGTGAAAAAAATTAAAAACTACCCCGAAATACGATTTTTGGATTATATTTTGAAAATATCAAAAAAAGTTTTAAATAAAAGTTGTAGAGCATAAAATTCTAGGCCTATCTCTCTCGGACCATTTTTCCCTTAAAACGCACCCTTTCACCCCTACGACGGTTCAAACTACTAAAAAAATGAAAATTCAATAAAAAATACAAAAATTGGACTTTTTTAATTTTTTTTTTTTTTAATTATCTTGAAAAAATTACAATGAACAATCGTAGGGAAGCAAAATTTTTTTGTTCATCCCTTCTATTAAAAATCAAGGGGTGAAAACGGTTTTTGCTCGATATTTCACTTAAAACGGGTTATTTAAAAAAATTTTCACTTTTTCATATGAACTTTTAATTTATTTTTTAAATTTTGGTGTTTGATTTATATTCACAGATATTTACCTGCAGGAAATATCCCTATTTAAAGACAGGTAATGTATACATTAGTCCTACGCCTTTGTAGAAAGAAACAGAAAATGAAGCTATTTCGCTCTTACTCATTGTGACGTAGGTCACCATGGCACGCATGCGCAAACTCTTAGCTTGCATGCGTGCAAGAGAGATAGACAATCTATATACTATATATTATGAATTATATATAGCTACATAATTCAATGAATTTTAATGAATTTTATTTTATTAAATTTTGTCATTTATTTCTCTCTATTAATGTATTTTAAAACACTTTACATATTTTTTTTTATTATAACAAGCGTAGGAATGTCTTAATTACTGATTAAGATTAATAATTAACAAAAATAAGAAAAGTCTTGATATATTTTCGTGATTTTTTGAGAAATTTTATCAGTCTAATCAAGATATATATTTAGAAAATAGTGAGAATTGAGAACATATACAAATGTTAATGAAAAATAAAACTGTGATAAGGTTTCTAGTCATTTAAGACATTTCATTTTCACCATATTTAAACTCTATTATGTATCTTTACATATAAAAATAGAAAAAAAATATCATGTGGGTAGATCACGCGTGTTTGAAGTGAAACCTTCGATAAACTAAGTTTCGAGAGAATGAGACGAATGCAGAATATCAGGTGTAGGATATTTGTAGGACATTTATTTGTTATAATATTATTATTATTATATTGTTAACACTTTTAAAAATTAATTTACGTTTTATTAACATATAATACATAACATATTACACAGTAGGCAAAATCTCAATTCGAAGAAATGAGACAAGTTGCTTCTGGAAACTACAAAATGTATAGTAACTAAACACCTCTCTGCGTGCAAAAAATGCAAAAACGCCTTCCGTCGAACTCTTTGAAATTTCCCTAGTATTTCCTTTCTGCAGATTTTCACGAAACTGGCGTTAGTATTCGGTCGTAAGACACTTAAATAACAATTCACAACATCCAATTGCAAATAATCTGAATAGAAAATTAAAAAAAATGTTACAATAGTGATCAATTAAGATTATGTTTGTTTAGAATGAGTAAAAAGGATAAAGAGAGATATATATTGATTAGAAGCTATTTAATGAAGTCCTAAAGTTTTTTCCGAAAAGTAGTGAGGTTTTTTCCGAAAAGTAGTGAGGT